CTGTAGATTTATTGCAATCCCAATAAAAATTTCAATACTTTTTCTGGAAATTAAAAAAGCCTGGTACTAACATTTATATAGAAATGCAGAGTTTAGAAGAGCCAAGACACTCTTAAAGGAGAAGAATGAGGTGGTACCCTATTGCCTGTCAAGATGTATTAAAAGTCTGCAGTGGGGCGCCTGGGTGGCTCAGTTGGTTAAACGTCTGCCTTCGGCTTAGGTCATGGTCCCGGGGTCCTGGGATCGAGCCCTGCATAGGGCTCCCTGCTTGGCGGGAAGCCTGCTTCTCCCTCTCCCACTCCCCCTGCTTGTGTTCCCTCTCTTGCTGTGTCTATCTCTGTCAAATAAATAAAATCTTTAAAAAAACCAAAAAGTCTGCAGTAACTAGAACAGTGTAGTATTAATGTAAGGATAATAAACATATCAGTGGAAGAGATTAAAGATTCCAGGAATAGATGCACACATACATGGTTATTTGATGATTGACATGAATAGCACTGCAGAATAGTAGGTGAAAGATGGTCTTTTCAGTAAATAATGTGGCTCAGTTAAATATCTATATAGAAAAAGTAAAATAAAATTTTATTCTTACCTCACACCATACCCCAAAATCATTTCCAAGTCAGTGGTAGACCTAAATGTGAAAATCAAAACAATAAAGATTTTGGAATATAACGTAGGAAAATGTCTTCAAGGTATTGGGATAGGGAGTGATTTTAAAAATAGGATACTAGAGGCGCCTGGGTGGCTTAGTTGGTTGTGCTTGACTCTTGATTTTGGCTCAGGTGATGATCTCAGGCTCAGTGGGGAATCTGCTTGAAATTCTGTCCCTCTCCCTCTGCCCCTCCCCTCACTCGTGTGTCCTCTCTCTCTCTCAAATAAATAAATCTTAAAACAATAAAACAAAAATAAGACACTAAAAGCACTAGTCACAAAGGGAAAAATTATGAATTTGACGTATTAAAATTCTGAACTTCTATCCCTCAAAAGACTGAAAAGGCAAGCAAGTGTGGAATCCCAGGATGATTATTGCCGTGCAACAATGAGGGGGTAAGTAATTAGTTTTATTTGAGTGGCAGCACTGAAGAGAGCTCCACTAACTTTTTTTTTTTTTTTAAGATTTTATGTATTTATTTTACAGAGAGAGAACAAGTAGGCAGAGAGGCAGCAGAGGGAGCTGGAGAAGCAGACTCCCCGCTGAGCAGGGAGCCGGATGCGGGGCTTGATCCCAGGACCCTGGGATCATGACCTGAGCCGAAGGCAGCAGCTTAACCGACTGAGCCACCCAGGTGCCCCTCCCCACTCCTTTTTTTTAAGGCTTTATTTTTAAGTAATCTGTATACCCGACATGGGCCTCGAACTCACAACCCTGAGATCAAGAGCCCGCACACTCCACCAACTGAGCCAGCCAGGTGCCCCATCATGTTTAACAGCTTTATAAAAATAAAATCATCATACAAAATCCTGCACATATTTGAAATGTGCAAATTGGCAGGCTTTGACATTTGAATGAGGCCATGAAACCATCACCAATATCAAGATGGTGATAGTGAACAAATTCACCCACCCCAAATTCCTTGTGCCCCTTTGTAATCCTTTTCTCCTATCCTTCCCCACACCCCACATCATGCAACCAGTGATTGCTTTCTATCACTATAGGTAGAAAGAGTCCTTTGCATTTTCGAAAGTTTTTAATATATGGAATCACACATTATCTGGCTTCTTCCACTCAGTATAAAAGTTTTGAGATTCATCAATACTGTAGCATGAATCAGTAGTTCATTCCTTTTTATTGCTGAAGAGTATTCTACTGTATGGATATACCACAAATTTGTTTATCCATTCACCCATTGGTGGACATTTGGGTTGTTTCCAGTTTGGAGATATTACAAATAAAACTGCTATGACCATTTGTGTAAAAGTTTTTGCATGCAGATATATTTTCTTTACCCTGGGTAAATATTTAGACGTGAAATGGTTGGGTCATATGGTAGATGTAAGTTTAACTTTTTAAAAACTACCAAGCTGTGTTTCCAAGTGTTTGTACCTTTTTACATTCCCATGAGCAGTATATAAGGGTTCTATTTCCTCTGCATCCTTCCCAACAGTTGGCATGGTCACTCTTTGTAATTTTAGCCATCCTGATAGGTGTGTAGAGGTACCTTGTGGTTTTAATTTGCATTTCCCTTATTAATTTGCCAAAGGTATTGGGCATCTTTTAATCTGCTTATTTGCTATCCATACATCCTCTTCAGTGAGCTGTATTCAAATCCTTTGCCTATTTTAAAAAATGGGTTGTATTTTTTATAGTGCTTTGAGAGTTCTTTATATGTTCCATGTAGTAGTCCTTTATCAGATATGTAATTTGCAAATATTTTCTCTCAGTCTCTTGCTTGTCTTTTCATTGTCATAACAGAGTCTTCTGAAAGCAGAAGTTTTACTGAATAGGTCTAATTTGTCAAATTGTTTTATAGATTATGGTTGTATATAAAGAAATTATATGTAAGAAGTGTTGCATATATGAAACCTTTGCCTAACTCATTTATAAAGAATTTTTCACAGAAGTTCTGTCATTTCAGGTTTTACATTTAGGTCTGTGTTTAGTATTGCTGCATAACAAAATTACCTCAAATGTGGTGACTTAAAACAACACAAATTTGGGGGACTTTGGGGGAGATGGTGGAGTAGGAGGACCTTAAGCTCACCTCATCCCAGGGATACAACTAGGTAACACCTGCATCAGTGTAAATAATGCAGAAAATGACCCGAAGACTGGCAGAACAGGTTCTCCACAGTTAAATGTAGAGAAAAAGTGACAGTGAACAGGGTAGGAAGGGCAGGGATGCTTTGGGAGCTAAATGGACCACAGCTGTCCATGGGTGGTGGGGCGGAGGGATGCTGCCGGTGTGGAGAAGGGAGAGAAACAGACTCTCACACTAGGGAGCCCACATGGGGAAGATGAATCCACATAACATTTGGCTTTGAGAACCAGAAGGGCATAATTTCATGAATTCTCATAATCAGTAGGGCTTAACACTTGGAACTTTAAAAATCGGTGGGCTCAGCTCTCGGAGAGCAGTGGGGGGTTCGTAAGAGGAAACTGAGTCCTCACCCTTAAAGAGATGGCACAAAAAACATCCACGGAGATACAGCACAGAAGCAGCAGCTTGAAAAATGCCTGGCGTATACGGGAGGGAGATTTGTTTACTAATCTCAGAGTATAAGCTAGAGGGGCAGGGATTGTTGGGACTTCTCCAAGAACAAATGAGCTGGCAGGTGCCATTGCCCTCCCCCCACCCCCTAGCCTACACATAGGGACACCAGTGGGAACCAGTGCTGCACCAACATGGCTACCTAATGTGCTAACAGTGCTCCCCACCCCCTTGTTCTCTTGTAAACACACACCACCCTGCAGCTAGGCCTGGCTCCACATCCCCTCCCACAGCAGACCCACCTAAACCTTGCTAACACTGCAACCCCAGCCCCACATGCTGCTGCTGCTTTTTTTTTTTTTTTTAAATATTTTATTTATTTGACAGAGAG